GCTACGGGCTGTCCAAATCCCTGGACAGAACATGCATGCTGTCCCAGAAATCCTAGACAACTCCATTGCTGTCCAGGAAAAGTTCAGCTGCTTCCTGAACTAATTCCAGAATTCTGGAAAGATTCTAGTGGCTGTCCCGAACTTTTGAACCAGGAAAAACTGCTGTCCTGCCCATTCGGAATTGGTCATTGCCGCCCAGAAATATCCCAGTCACTATCCAGAAGTATCATACTCACTAGTCAACCCGTGGGATTACCCGCCTCGGCTACTTCTCCAACAGACTACACTTTGGGCGCCTTTTGTCTTCCTAGTGGCATCGCTCGGGAAGCTCTTTAAAGCTCCACTGTCAGACTATATATATATATATATATATATAAGATAATTAGGTAAGCATCGAAACATCACCATTCCAATTTTTCCTCATTCCATTCACTAAAGGAGGCGAGCACATGTTTGGAGCTACAGTTTTTTATTGCTGAATTACAGGTAAGGAAATGTTGGAATGAAGTGCAGGACAACAGAATTTAGTAGTTTTATCATGAATAATGGTTGAAACGAGGTGTTGTTTACTTATGTAATTTTGTTGTTGTACGTTGTTGTAGGGTTGTCGAAAACTATATGTAAGGGTTGTTAATTACTATTTGGTGCTGTAAATTATTAAATTACAGCATGTGAATGTTGTATGTTGTTATGAATCACTACAATCAGCTTTTATTAGCTGAAAATAGAAATCAGAAAAAAAATATAAAAAGAAAAAATAAAATCAGGTAAGAGTAATTGTTGAAATTTAGTATGCTAATATTTGTAGATGTTGTTGTGATAATTAGGGCTTGTTGTTGTTAAATATAAAAGAAAGGACAGGAAGTAGGGAAAGAAGTTTAGAAGAGGAAAGAAAATTTTGAATGGAATGAACAAGAGTACACTTGAGGTAATTTGTAAGATATTTATATTGCTTATTTTGTTCATTTTATAAGCATGTGCAAATAAAGAAATATATATTTAGGTTGTTTACAAAAGAAAAAGAATTCGGAGTACTTTGGGTGAACCAATTTAGCCAACTGTTTTAAAAAAAGAGGTGAGATACTCAAACAATACAGAAAATAGTAAACTTTATATAGTTGCAACCTCACATTATTATGTTTATAATAACATTTCATTGCAGTTTATCTATGTATAAATATGTTGATTTATTGAATAGTGATTATCATAACACATTTTATGATTGCTAAAAGTGAAAGATATTGGAAAGATGAAATAAGTCATCTATAAGGGATATACCCGCACAAGTAAAGACAAAAGACCTGACGAGGTAAGTCTATACTCTCAAAATTCTATAAGTTAGGAATTCAGACCCAACCTTGAATGAGAGAGCACATTTAATTCTAAAAGTTGGTAATTCAGACCAAACATTGAATGAGAAAAGGAAGTGGTTGAGTATTTCATTGAGCCCTAACTCATTTGTAGTTGTTGTACTATAGAAAAAGGAAAGGAGCCAATAGGGCATCAGACTGAAAGAGCGTTGTCCTTTTTTATGTACATACATTTTAGGTGTACATAGAGGTCCAAGTGAAGGATGTACAAAAACTTTTGAGATATGTAGATGAAATTTAAAAAGCATAGTAAAGCTCTATATTTTACTTGTTGTATTTTATTTGAGATGTCTTAAATATGCTTCTTATTATGAGATATAAAAACTAGTTAGGGCAGGATAGTCTAAATATATTACTTTTTAATCATCCGATTCTGATAGAAGCAGTTCAAAATGGATGCCAGTAAAAAGAGGTCTATTTAGATTTTCTTTCTCTGTTACAATTCAAGTTGACTGTAAAGGGGGTCAAAATGGGGTGTGACAATGTATTCGATTTTAGATCTACTCAAACGAAAACCGTTAGACTCTAAAGTTGACCTCAATAATTCGAATTTTCTTCAACTCCCTCTCTAGTCTTATCAATAAGAATAATAGCAGAAAGCATACACCATGGTACATCTTCCTACAAATGTTTAGTAAGAACATCCATGACCAAAGAAAAAATATATGGGCTTAAAGTTGATTCCATAGTTGAAATAGGAAAATACTTGGTACAACCTCCTTGTGTTTGAACACAAGTAACAGCTCCTATATTCATATCCTTAATGACTAGAGTATAAGCATTATTAATCTATTTCTTTTTTAAAGCTCACCATAGCACTTCTCCTATAACTTTATTATAAGTGTTGAATCACGCAGCAAGGAGGGAGCCCATCGTAGGCTACAGTTGGAGATTTTATCTACTGACACCAAGATCCATGAGATTTATTCCAAGATCTGCAAGATATAATTATTAGAATCAATTAGATTAAATGACTTTACTCTTCTGTTTATTATAATTAATTAGATTAAATATCTTTCTTTTTCTGTTTATTCTCCTAGAATGTATGTGCACACGCGCGTGTATATATATATATATATATATAATGATTCCAAAGAATAAAATTTGAATACAATTTCCCTCAAACAAATTCTTTATAGTATCAGAGCTTAAGAAGATCCTAAAAGCCTTCTCTGAGTGTCGGCGGCAAACCTTCCTCCCTTTCTTCCAACCTTCAACCAACAGTAACTCTCCATCATCCTGTAGATAGCCTCTCTACAAGCACCGATAGCCCTTTCCCAAAATACATCTTCTCTTTCAACCGAGGAAACCCAACCATATCTATAGATAGCGAGATTTCATCATCCTAACCAAAAATTACCGGTTTAAACACCGGAAACTCTGGATCTGCAAACAAGTCTTCTCCTCTCCCTCCTCTCATCACAAACCACATATTTAAGGAACAATTTTTTTGTAATGGTCTCAATCGATGAGAATGTTTATTTGCGAGAGAGGGAAAGCAGACTATCTCACTGGTGAAGCCTCTATACCACCACAAAGTGATCCTCTCTACAGAGAATGGAAAGCATAGAATCATCAGATCATGTCTTGGCTCATCAACTCCATGAATGTAGAAAACGGTGAGAACTTTCTTCTTTACGAGATGACACAAGAAATATGGGAGGCCATTAAAGAGGCCTACTCCAATTCCGACAACACTTCCGAGCTATTTGCAATTGAGGCCATCCTTCACGACTGTCAACAAAAGGACTTGACGATAACTCAATATTTTAATACTCTAACGCGTTATTGGGAACAATTATATATATTTGAACAGCATCAATGGAAATGTTCAGAAGATCATGGACTTCACCAGAAGATAGATGGGGTAAAAAGAACATTCAAATTCTTGATGGGTTTGAACAAGAACTCCGATGGCGTTAGAGGACGAATCATGAGAACCAATCCTCTTCCAAATCTTTGGGAGGCCTTTTTTGAAGTTCGAAGGGAAGATAACAGAAGAAAGGTCATGTTGGGAGGCCTACAAGGATCTCCAAAGGTTGAAAAAGGAAATGCTCTTTAAAAACAATAAGAATTCCAAAGGTTGCTCTCAAAACAAAGTCATATATGCAACGATTAGACATGCTTACAAGCTTGAAAACTAAAAAATATGATTATAAACGCAATTCATACCACTATAATAGGATAAAATCTTGATAGTTGCCATGTCTCCTCTTCATCACTACGGTCCTTCCGAGCTGCATTCTTCTTCTATTAGCCAACAACATGCTTGGAATAATTAGCAGGAAATCAATAACAGGAGATCAAAACTAATCAAAATTCATAACTAAAGACTTAGTTGCACACCTTATAACCATCAAACTTAAGTGAGAAACCTCCAGATGCTTTCTTGCCCTCAGGTAATATCAAGTATCTAATATTGTGCACAGCACTTACATCATCCGGTGATAATCTTGCCAGCTGAAAAGTAAAGAAAATCTCATTGATCAACGTAAAAAAAGCCAGCAGCAAATTCAAAGAGATCGCTTCTTTTGTCATGCAAAATTTAGTTATATATGAAAGGACCTTGTGAAAGGAGTCACTGTTCACAATACTGTTAACAGCACCATTCATATTCCTGCAGAAATGCAGCACTATAGCCATAATATAAAGCTGCGGATCGAATTTGCAACTATAACATTAGAAGGCTGGTTTTTATCAACTGAATGCTCTCCACTATCCTGATTGCTTAGAGATTTTCGGATCTGCCTTGAATCATCATGAGAAGTTATGGCCAAAACTTTTCAATGAAGTATAATATGAGGAATGCCTTCAATTTGACCTTTTGTCAAAGTGGAACAATTCCAAATCTCCTTCTCAAAAGAGATAGTAACATCCATTTAAACTAGGACCCTAACCACTATCGAACTTGAAAACTAGCAATAGTAGCAATCATTTTAAGAGATTTACTAAAAATTGAGCCAAGAAAAAATATTAGAATGGTTGAAGTTGTGAATACAAAGTTAAGGAAAAGCAACCCAAGCTAGAATTATAGGAAGTTCCTCAGAGCAATCAAAGATAGTGTTGATCCCATCAGGTAATCAAATTTGCCTCTTTCACAAATAAACATCATCACGAATTGATACAATTGAAGATAGTTGTGACCATTGAACTTGTGTCCTATGATTGGTAAAATACTATTTTTAACCCCATTCATAGACCGAGAAATAAGTACACCTCATGTTTATAGGTGACTTTAGAAATGGAAGATTATCCTCTAGAGGCCATTTAATATATTGTCATGTGAATGGCTAGAGCATAGGATAGTGCACGCTGGACTCTAAAACTATTAAGAATTTGAAAATTGAAGCAATATATATATATATATATATATAAAGTAGGAAAATAGTAATGTTGAGATTGTATACCATAAAGAGAAGGATGAAAGCCAAAATCGAACTTTGCAACAAAAACTTAATTATTTTGCTTTTATCAAAGAATATCATCATTAGAAAGGGATTACAAAAAAAACGAAAAATCTCATAAATTGCAGCCAAAGAGGGACCATCTGCTGCTTGAATGTATCCCTCTCGCATGTGATTAAATACACCTCATTTATGAAAGATAACAAGGGATTGACAGTAAACAACAGCACATAACTGCTCATATTTGCTTCAACCGTGTGTTTATTTTACAGCCATGTAATTACTTTCCAGATTTGTTTCAGCACATTACTGCCCGCCCATTCAGTTATTCTGCAGGTTTGCTTCAACGCATTACTGTCCAGAAATGAAAACATGGATTCAGCCATGTAAATATTTTCGAGAAATAGGGAATCCATAGAAAAGATAAGCCATGGTTTGCACTAAACTGCCAATATTTCCCACATAATTTAATAAAATATAGAAAAAGAAAATGTCATACTTCGATTCAGAAAGCCATCCTCATTCAGTACTATCATAAGTATGACTAAAAAGTGGGTCTGAATCTTAAAATACAAACAAAAACCAAATAAGTGCATTCTTTGCACCAGCCTTGTCCTGACTATATGAGTTATGCTAAGGAAAACAACGAAGTAAACACTGCAAAAACAGCTTCCAGAAAAGGCAAACTACATTGCAAATAGCCAATTAAAATGAATGTTAAAACTATGTCTAATAAGTTTGATTACAATGTTATACGAATAGCAAATTGAAAGCCCACCTGAATCAGTTTTTCTCCTTTATCACCTTCAAACTTCTCAGGGAAGATAGATGCATATATCATCAATAAACGGAGCTTATTTTCCGGAGTAACATCCTGTGAGATAAGTGAAATTTCATATCTAATCAAATTGGGAGCTGGGATGTATTAGTTCATACTTAAGCAATTAACTGGCATTACCTCCTTCGTCCTTAAAAAGTTGTTCAAGTCTTTAGTCCCTGCATCTCCAAAGACGAGATCCTGTTCCAGTTGCCCAAGTTCTCGAAGTCCCAGTTCTCTAATTACATTGTTAATCTTCCCGGCTATCTGCATAGGATTATATTGTTGAAATGGAGGTGAACAGTTTTAGTACTCATTCTTCAGTGAATACAAGACCTTGAAAATTAGGTCCTTTTGCAAACTTCATTTAAGATATTCAGAACCAGAATGGGAGTTGGTATAATTCCTTGTCGAAAACAATATTCAAGTCATATAGTGTTGGATAAGGATGCTGCCAGTGATTTTGAAGATAACACACAAACTTGCAGAAGTTCAGATTTATTTAGCGACAAAATCAAGTTTCCCTGAGCAATAGCTATATTCAAACTACGTTGTTGGTAAGGAATAAAATTGTGGCAAGAAGAAAATCAAACAAGAAAAGCATATTTGGAAATATGAACAAGCACAATCTGCGCTGTGCAACACAAAAAAAAAACTAAGAAAACTGAGACCCATAACAAAAGAGAATTCGTGTTGAGAAAGAGAAGGATATGATGATAAGAATACTGCATAATCTTATAATACAAGATTCGAGTAAAAGATAATAACAACCATTAAATATTATGTCCATCCTTGTCATGAGTGCTACTAAATGAGGAAGCAAAACGAGTATTTTGTTATTATACTGTTTATTATAAAATTTTGATGTCACGCTCCAAATTTTATACTATAATAACAAAATAAATTAATAATTAGACATGGGGAACATGCAAATAAAATAAGGAATTCATAAGAAAAAAAAACTCAAGTTCATATTAGAAAGCATGTAGTTCATCAGTCTGTCAGGCAGAAGCATGCTGACCATTAACAAACACAAGCATCTTGCAAATGTATGCAAAAGATAATTAAGTAAAATATAGTAAAAACTTCGAAAATAATAATAAGAATAACCTCAACATGTAGAGAAAGCCTGTCAATTTGCTTGCTATACTCAGGTAATGCTTGAACCATTTTCTGCAAATCGCTCGTTGATAGTTCACCATCTCTGGATAAAACACAAATAGTCAACGTCGTAATTACCAAATGTAAGTCTCAACAAATAAAAAAGAAATGCGCACAAACTCACCTGACAATAAAAAAATGAAATTCAAATATTTCTAGACATCTAATTAGATATGCGTTTGGTTGAAGCAAATCAACTACATATCGCAGTACTTAAAGCTCACCTTGCAAATTCTAGAATCAAAAAGGAAGGTTTCAATTTACTTAGTTTTGGAAGACGTGTTGGATAGATCTTCTTACTGTAGAAACCTATAGATTCATGTCAAAGATGGAAATCAACATCCCAATGATTCATGACAATGAAGAAATTAGGATTGCACAGACTCATGCTAAAGAAGGAAATCAAGAACCCATTGATAGATGCTACGGAAGAAAATTCAAAAATATTTTTTAATCTATATTTAACATGAAAAACATTAATATTTCCTATATGAATTCCTATATTAGCATACATATTACCTTCTATTAAATACTTTGATGAATATGAAAGACTTTTGTATATTTCACATGGTATCAATCTCCTAGGCTTTTATAATTGAGTCTCAGCCTTCATTGTCCTACACATTCTCTACCTTGATCGTCACCTAATTCCTCGGCCTTCATCGCCCAACGCAAAGGCCTATCATATCTCGCAACTAATTGTCGCCCTCGACCTTCAAGCCATTCACGATATCTTCCTTCGTTGCATATGAATTCCAAGAATTATACTTCCACGCATGATTCTCTTGCCATGGTTTCTCGAAAAGTCAACTTCAATTCCACACAATTTCACCACTCTATGTTGTAGACATCTCCAAATTTGTGAATTTCACTCACACCCTCCACCCTAATATCTATTCCACACCAACTGCAATTCCAATAGGGCCTCACATCCATGGAGACTGAAGTAATGCTCAATGCTCCCAAGAAAGTCTAGGATGGCATTTCTTCAACTAGTTTGTGCCACAATGCACACAAGCAATGCCAACTCTGCAATGTAGCCTCATGCTGTATGCATTCCATGATTTTCCTAGCTCCAAGACTATAATGCCTGATTGCACTGACTTTGCAATCCACTAAGAGCTATCCAATGGTTGTAGAATCTCTCCTAGGAGTCTTCATCATTGCATTTTCTTCCCTCACTGCAAACTTAATCACTACTATGAGTACCAACATGTTATGTTCAAGTTTTGGGAGAGCTTCTCTGGTCACTATTGAAGTCAGTTTGCCTTATGATGACGGCAAAAAAGCAAATAATTTTAAGGCAAGCATAGACCAAAGAAATTTTAATAAATATTTTCCTTTTACTTAATTTATAGTGACACATGAGGCCCCTCTAATATCCTAAGGTAATAGGTACTAAGCGAATTGTTGTCCAGCAATGATTACACGAGTTTCCGAAATTTCATAAAATGATCCAAAACTAGTGTGAGTATCATCTTCGGCAATGTTGCAAAATCTTATTGGAAGTCGTTCTTATAGCATAAAAAGTTTGCAATTCAAAGTTCAGGAGTTCAAAATTGGTTGCCATCCAAAGTTCTGGAGTTCAAAATACAAATAGAAGTACTTTCTTAATCTTATCCAAATTTAAAAACCACAAACAATCTTAAGCCATAAATCTTGGATGAAACGCATTTGAGCATTTTCACAGTAACAATAGAGGAAAACTTGACCTTATAGTACTTAAATTATCTATGAAGGTTACTTGTAAACCCAAAAAGAATATAAGTGTTACAACGCACCTACCAAAAAAAATTTTGTTTCTATCCATGTCACTTTGAAGAACAGAGACCTTTCTATGTGCAACCTTATCTATAGGAGGATAACTCTACTATAAAAGATGAGAATAGAGATCTGATGTAGGCAAGGGGGGGTTAAAACAAGTTAGGTTTTATTTTTGGTGAGTTTTAATATCCTCTACTAGATGTCAGCTCATTAATATCTAGTAGAGTGTCTTAAGCTCATAAATTGAAGATTTATTATATTCATTCCCCCTTTTCCTTTGTCTCTTTGGATTCTACCATTTTCCTTTTCGGTTTCTGTTGGTTGTTGGTGTTCCCCTGGTTCTTCCTCTCGGTTTTCTCTTGCTGGTTGGTTTCCCGTGCCTTGCCCCTTTTCTCCTGTGTTGGCTTTTCGGGTCCCTTGCTGGCTGATTTCTTGTGGTTGTTTGGGGGGAAGGGGGGGGGGGGGGGGGGTGGGGGCCCTTTCCCTCAATTGGAGGGAAATTGATTCAGATTTTCTGAACTTAATTTCAATTCCAACGGGTAGAGATAATTGGGTTTCTTGCTGCAGTTTTTGTTGTCCCGTACAGAATTTCTGCTTGATGTTTGGGAATGTATTTGGCTGATTTTTTAGGACCTTTCAGCTGCCGTCTTTTGGCCTTCTATTTGGTGACTTTTGGTCTTCCATATTCCCTAATATAGTGGTTGTTTAGCTTCTTTCTTTTCTTATAAATATTAGATGTTTTGTATGTTTAAAGGGTGGTGAAAAATTATGATTTTTGGAGATAAAACCTGAGGGTTTTCTTTGGAATAGCTTGCGAGCTATGTCCTTCTCCTTCCTCTCCTCTCTATAGCTTGCGAGCTATACTTCGTCTAATCTTCTAACCTCTTCTTCTCTACGCAAGTATCCACCCCACTTGTATCCTTCTTCTCAACAATTGGAAAGCTCCTTTAGGTGTCTTTTATTTGTGCTTATGTTGTCAAAGTTTGTAAGGTGTTTGTGTCCAAGTTTGTAATAGTCTTTTATCTTATAAAAAGTTTATTTTTTTGTCTAATTTGTCTAGTTTTTGTGAGTTCATGTAAGTTTCTATTATCTAGGAAGAGTTTCTTTTCCTTGCAAAAATTTGTGTCCCTTCCCAAATTTTTGCTTGCATCAAATGGTATCAGAGCGGGTTAGCAAATCCCGATTTGTTGTCTTGTTATCAAGTGATTTAAGTTTTGTTGAGCCTTTTTTAGAAAAATGAAAAATCACAAAAAATTGAGTCCATTGTGGAAGAAAGCAATACAGAAGTTTCTGAAGACCATGTCCCTATGGATAAGATGGGTTCCGACAGATGGAGATTCGACAAATCCCCTACAGAATGAGCTATACAAGCTCCAAGTGAAGATGCATTTGTGTACGGAGCGGTGCATGAAAAAGAAACAACTTTTGCAAGAATAATTCAAGCGAGAGCGAGACGATGTATTGAAAAGGTACGCAGAAAAAATTCAAGAGCTTGAAGCTCCTACTTCGTCTCCTCAGGAAAAATCGAAAGCTTCCTCATCTGGAGATGAGCTTTTTTAAGTGGGGGAGAATTGATGTAGGCAATGGGGGGTAAAAACAAGTTAGGTTTTATTTTTGATGAGTTTTAATATCCTCTACTAGATATCAGCTCATTAATATCTAGTTGAGTGTCTTAAGCTCATAAATTGAAGATTTATTAGATTCATTCCCCCTTTTCCTTTGTCTCTTTGGTTTCTACCCTTTGCCTTTTCGGTTTCTGCTGGCTGTTGGTGTTCCCCTGGTTCTTCCTCTCGGTTTTCTCTTGCTGGTTGGTTTCCCGTGCCTTGCCCCTTTGTCTCCTGTGCTGGCTTTTCGGGTCCCTTGGTGGATGATTTCCTGTGGCTGTTTGGGGGGGGGGAGAATTCGGTGGCCTCTTCCCTGTTTTCTGTGCAGTTTTCCTGCTGCAGTTTTTGCTGTCCCGTGCAAAATTTATGCTGGCTGTTTGGGAATGTATTTGGCTGATTTTTTAGGACCTTTCAGCTGCCGTCTTTTGGCCTTCTATTTGGTGACTTTTGGTCTTCCATATTCCCTAATATAGTGGTTGTTTAGCTTCTTTCTTTTCTTATAAATAGGAGATGTTTTGTATGTTTAAAGGGTGGTGAAAAATTATGATTTTTGGAGATAAAAACTGAGGGTTTTCTATGGAATAGCTTGCGAGCTATGTCATTCTCCTTCCTCTCCTCTCTATAGCTTGCGAGCTATACTTCGTCTAATCTTCTAACCTCTTCTTCTCTACGCAAGTATCCACCCCACCTGTATCCTTCTTCTCAACGATTGGCAAGCTCTTTTAGGTGTCTTTTATTTGTGCTTATGTTGTCAAAGTTTGTAAGGTGTTTGTGTCCAAGTTTGTAATAGCCTTTTATCTTATAAAAAGTTTATTTTTTGTCTAATTTGTCTAGTTTTTGTGAGTTCATGTATGTTTCTATTATCTAGGAAGAGTTTCTTTTGCATGCAAAAATTTGGGTCCCTTCCCAAATATTTGCTTGCATCAAGATCTCTTCTCATTAGATCTATCTTCATCACCCATGTCTTTATGAACTAGTGATAACCTGGTCTCCACACCATACTTGACAATCACAAATAATGTAACATAACGCAAAGGTCCTTGTAAAATTATAGTGCATAATGCATGACGTGACTAGTGATAACATGGTCCTCGTTCCTTTATTGAGGCTTGTAGGTGTAAGAAGGGTCCTCGTCCTTCAACATCTTGTTATTCTATATAGTTTCATAAGGTTTATCTCTAAATCATTAGAAGCTGCCTTTGTGTATTCTCCAGCTCTCATTTTTTCTGATAAAGAGATCTTCAAGTTAGCATCTCATTTCTCTTTTACTCCTACTAACAAATTTTCCAAGGGTCATGATGTGAAACAACATGCGATGGAAACAAGAACTGCTTGGGGATTTTAATATAAGATTTTAAAGCTTTGCTAGTTATAGAATTAATGCTTACCCAAGTTAGATTTTTAGAATTATCAAGTCGAAATTAAGTAAGGCATGCGGTTATAATTAGATTAACGGGACAATATCAAATTGACAACATATAAATAGAGAGTAATGTTATGGTGAGAAACAATAATCCACGGTTAATAAATAGAACTCTTCATCTTGGGTCCCTCACTCACGCTCTTGACAGTGGAGCTTTAACGGAGCTTCCCGAGCGATGCCACTAGGAGACAAAAGGCGCCCAAAGTGTAGTCTGTTGGAGAAGTAGCCGGAGGCGGGTAATCCACGGGTTGACTAGTGAGTATGATACTTCTGGATAGTGACTGGGGATATTCTGGGCGGCAATGGACCAATTCCGAATGGGCAGGACAGCAGTTTTCCTGGTTCAAAAGTTTGGGACAGCCACTAGAATCTTTCCAGAATTCTGGAATTAGTTCAGGACAG